GGGTTTCTATTGAAAGCTTTACGAACTGCCGTTAAACCAGTAGTGTTATCGATATTGGTATACATAGAAGAAACGTCGATAGAAATTAAAATAGCATTAGAGGGAACTCGAAGATTTTTTATTTTATTAACAAAATCGCTTGTGTCTTTAAGGTAGGCGCGATGTTGGCATGCTAGAGGTAGTAAGAAATGATCAATGTATTCTGACACTGCATATGACTCACTACCGCAGTCAGATATAATCGGGCGGCCTTTAGGGATTTTATTCGAGATAAACCACTCCTTGGTTGGATTCTTATGGATTTTAGGCAAAGTGTACAAATGTCTCTCGCGACAATTAGGTTTGGCAGACAGATAGTCATATTGTTTCTGTTTGAGATAACTAGTTTTGACTAAAGTGTTACTAGATCTCTGTGTCAGTCTTGAGCCAGATCTGGTTTAGGTCAACTCGTGTGAGCATCCAAGGTTTTGTTCGGATCTGACTTAATGCTCATGCCAGATCTAGGCAAGATCTGAAAAAGTATTACTAGAACTGTGTGCCAGTCTTGAGCCAGATCTGGCTAAGGCCAACTCGTGTGAGCATCCCCGGCCTGGCTCAGATCTGGTTTTCAGGCCTAGGACAGATCTGACTTAATGTTCATGCCAGATTAGTGCCAGATCTGGATCGGGCGCGCTCTCCAGGTCTGGTTCAGATTTGGTTTCCAAACCTGGGTCAGATCTGTTTGCCAGATCTGGCTCAGGCCAACTCGCATGAGCACGCCCGGCCTTGTTCAGATCTGGTTTCCAGGACTGGGTCAGATATGGCATTACGCTCATGCCAGATCAGGACCATATCTGGGCCAGATGAGAATTGCTAGCTGGGATGGATCGATTCCACAAGTTGTTGCTGTGACCGCCACTACAGACCACGGAGTTGGACCGGCATTTGGAACAGTCTCCATCGTAGCACATAACAGTTGCTTGTAGTATTTTCGGCAGCTGTTTTTTATACGCCCACATGAAATGGGGGGCGTATATTGTCACCCATGTCCGTCGGTCCGTCGGTCCGAAACTTGGTATGAGTGTTCGTTATCACCCAAGGATAGAAGGCACAATTCTTGAAGGATTTCAACGGAACTTGTTATGAGTGTTCGTAATCACCCAAGGATAAACCCTATTGAAAATCAGCGAAATCAAAAAATATTTAGTATGAATTATTGCCCTTGTTCTTGAAAACACGTTCAATTTTTAGCTCGTAATCACTCTACAGGGCACAATTCTTGATGGATTTTAACGAAACTTCGTATGAGTGTTTGTAATCACCCAAGGATAAACCCTATTGAAAATCAGCGAAATCGAAAAATATTTAGTATGAATTATTGCCCTTGTTCTTGCAAACCGTTCAATTTTTATCTCGTAAACACTCTAGAAGGCACAATTCTTGACAGATTTTGACGAAACTTGGTATGAGTGTTCGTATTCACCCAAGGATAAACCCTATAGAAAAACCAGGGAAATCGAAAAATATGTACTATGAATTATTGCCCTTGTTCTTGAAAACGCATTCAATTTTTAGCTCGTAAACACTCTAGGAGGCACAATTCTTGACAGACTCTACAAGTCACAATATTTTTGTTCATAATCACAATTTACAATAGATGTCATTATTTTCCTGAGAAACTATTTTGGTTAACAAATAAGAAAATTTAATTTAATCATTTAACATGTCCCTAACCAGCCACCATACATGTACAGCATCATAAGATACTATAAATAGACCAAGTGGAAAATCCAAGACAGACATCCCAAGATGCAGCAGTTTATCTGATTTCATTTTATAAATGTCATTCAAGAGAAAAGGTTTGCTTGATCATTTCATTTTCACCAATTGTGCTGATACAAAAATGAAATTAAACATGGGTCATAGAGGAAAGGTTTTGTTTCTTGGAAGATTGAATTGAGTTGCTGGATAAGTAGGCTACTATAGGAAAAATATTTAGTATGAATTATTGCCCTTGTTCTTGCAAACCCTATAGAAAAATCATGGAAATCGAAAAATATGTAGTATGAATTATTGCCTATATTTTTGAATATAATCTGCAAATACACAATTCATGACAGACTTATTGAAATCACCCAAGGATAAATCTGATCAAAAATCTTGTACAATACGTAATTTTTATTCTACAAAGCAGAAGTCTAAAACAAATTTGACAACTTGATGAAATTGATCACAATCATAACTAAACCTTTTGAAATATAAAATACAAGTTATTGCCGTTATTCTTACAAATGTGTTTGATTTTTAACTTGTGATGGCACAGTTTGTGATGGATTTGGGTATAAGTTGAATATTTCCTGGTGTCTATGTTTGCTATTTTCTAACAAATATTCAATTTCAAACAAAGCTATCAGTGGGCGTATATTACCTTGCCTGGCAAGCTATCTTTCAGTTTGTCCACATCTCCGCAGTAAGTAGAGTAAATCTCTTTGATCACAAGGCTACACCTAGATTTTATGTCCTGGCTCAAAGTTTTCTTTTGATTTGTTTTTTCAACTTTTGTTTTGCCTCTGAACATTCCGTCGCTAAAATTAGCCTTAAAACATTGGCGAAACTGAGATGCACTAAGATGGGCTCGGTCAGCTAGTCTTTCAACTTTCCACATAGGATGTAAAGTTCTCATTGCCTCTTCAATTCCGGTAGCTGACGTTGAATCTCCGTCTGTTGTGGCAAACTTGATGAGCACCCCTTGAATAGATAAATCTTCACCAATTATTCTCCCCATTTCTCTCTCAGATAAAGGTGCATGTCTTGTCAGATTTGCTGTGCATCCCTCGTGTCCTGGACAGTTGACAGTAATGCCTGTGTTTCTTAGCCACGGTCTAGTCCAACAAAGTTTATTTTGCAACACCGCACTTATGATATATTTCCTATCTGTGTTTGTCTCACAAGCAATGCCGATTGATTGGGATGCTCCTTGTCTGGGTTTCTTGCTGTGTCCTATGGTCAGACAATTGTACCGGCCATCCAAAGCCACATTTATCACGTTAGGGTTGGAAGCACCTTTTCGTCTATTGACATTTTTCACCTCTTCCACCTTAGTTCTCATGCTTTCATTGTTCAAGTCAGTTGTCTTTGAACTCACATAACTGGATAACTTGGACATACCACTTTCAGCTGGTGGGGGAATGTCTAAATCTGCCAGTAGAAGCCTAGTCATTGAATTGCCTAAAGGCATGTCTAGCAATCCAGCTTGTAAGTTGATGTTTACTGCAGCCGCTTTCCTACCTCTTTTGCCAGTCGTGATTTCCTTGTATAATTTTACCACAGGAGAGATGTATCCACAATTGAGGCATTTCAGTGAATATTTCCATCCAATTCCCCATTTTTCTTCTGTGTTGATCTTAAATTGTGGTACTGCACACACCTCGGCCTCTTCGTCTGCATGAGTTTGAATGGCTATATTCCACATTTCTACCATTTTTTCCACATTGATTATCCTGTTGCCTGAGATTTCATTTTGATCAAAACTGCTTTCTTTTTTTTTCAGGCCTTGGCCGTAAAACCCTGTGACTACCTGGAGAGTCTAGTTCAATATTCACATAGCTCAATTCTTGGTCTTCATACACTGCAGAGGTAGATGGAAGATCATAGTCGTAGTCAGTTTGTGTCACCTCACTAACTTTCTTTACATAACCAGGTAAAAAATGTGAACTTTTTCGTTTTCTGTCTCCTTTCATATTGAGAGTTTTGAATGGAAATGAGTGAATTTCTCATTTTTGCTAAATATATATTATTTTGAGACTTGAGGGAGGTGAAAATATCAGCAGAATGATATATTGAAGACAGAATGAATAGACAGTGAAATCATTTATTTCTATTTACTATGTGGACTGATTTTGGTTTCTGGGGTTTAGGGATCATAAACCTTAATGAGTTATGTAATGATTGTAACTTTAACACACTACCTAATGGATATATGGTCTTTTAAGATTCATTCTTGAAAACATTTGGTTCCATGTTATTTCTATTTCTGCAATTGTCATTAATTTAAGAAGTACTGTGGTTTTTGAAGTAGAAACAGGCTGAATTATGTGCGAAGTAAATGTGACGTAATAAATTTGACCCTTATTCTGTGTAATTTATGTTTTTCAGGCTTGGTTTTGGTCAACGTTCCTTAATCTTTTTACAGTATTGAATTATCTTCATAAATAAAAAAGTTCTGACCAATTAAGAATTGTACGTATACAAGCTTATACAGTGCATATATAGCTTATTATAGGAAAGAGGGGGCAAAAGTAAAAACACTACCACTGGTTTACTTTTAGGTTTATTTGCATAATTTTTGGTCAGGTTGTTCCACAGATGTTATAGAACAAATTAAAGCAAGAAAAAAATTAGCTATATATATAGGACTCATTCCACTAAAACATTTTATGCAAATGATTGTATAATGTAGTCCAGGCTATTTTTAGAAATCTTCTTTCTCTCTCCCTTTTGGGGTTTTTGCCCTACTCTTAAAAGAACGATTCTTTATGGACAGTATACGAAAAAGGTTGTGTTGCATTCACCTAAATTATCACAATGTCAGTTTAATACGATATCCGTATAATACCTTGATACCATTAGCCGCTTTTATTGCATCGCGGAATTCGGAAAATAAATCAATCATAATAAAGCATTAACGTATTATTTAAGGTAGAAATTCTCAAAAAATGTTTAACAAATAGGTAAGATACACCTTTCTGCAAGGTATAAAGAAAATCACAAGGATCATGAAAATTTTCACTTTCATTTGTGTCTCTTTGTGGATTTTAGATGGCATTAGTTTTATTTGTGGTAGGGGTCAGGGAAAATGGAAAATTTTATAATCTTTGTTGGAAGCCGGAGAATACATCTAAAGCGATTTTGGAAGTGAAAGTAGTAGAATACGCTACATTTCAGATGGCCCGAGGGTAGGGGGTAGGGCAAAAAAATACGCCATTATCCTTTCAAATAAGTAAACATAGGTTGTAGATAGTAAATATTACAATAAATACAAATAACTTAAGATCAATATATCAAAATATATTAACTGATATGATGTTACTGTCATCGACTCTACATAATTGCTTACTGCCACGATTCCACATAATTCAGGTTTTTCAATCCTCTCCCACACTTTGTAAAGTAATTCTGCGTATACTTTTTGAGCAGCTAGTGTTTTTTCGAGCGTGAAGGCACAAACGTCTACATCCGAAGTTGGATATTTTTCATATTGGTCATTTGGAATTTCTATATGTCTGGCGTCAAACGGTTTGGCCAGTATTCCAGTAATACACGCATCTTCAACATTCACGTAAGGAAAATATTGAGAAACGTTCATAATTTTCACTGCAAGAGGATAGGGTATAATATACGAGTTGCCCTTCACGTGTGGTGGATACATTTTCGGTTGATAAGCTTCATACGCCACTGACCCCTTTCCAGTTCCACGTGCAACCCCTTCAGAATACGAGAACGGTCCGTAGATTCCATTTTCCATATACGTCGACACTAGCAAATTAACTAATCTTGGAATATCCACAAACGCGTCATGGTCCATCTTCATGATATATTTAGTTTTGGGACAATGAGTTCGAACCCATTTGATACCCATTAACACTTTGAGAGTCAAATTGAAATAGGAATCTATAAAGTTGGCCTCCACTATATCTCTATGTTCACTGGCTTCAATTTGAACTGCTTTATTCAGAGGAGCGTTATCGATTGCACCCAGTAAAAATATCAGTCGAACTTCACCGAGTAATCGTCGACCAGGCCAAGGTTCATGACGAGCTATCCTACCCCACGTCTCTCGGATAGCTTTACGTTGGTTATAAGCATCATGTTGTGTAAGAATCAGAATAAATAATGTTGGGTTGTTGCTGGTGGGCGGACAAGCTGGAGGACTATTTATAGTAAAGTTATAGTCTAATGAGGTGAGCTTGACATTTCTAGGACGAAATGCTTCTGGAGTTTTTAACAGTGATTTGTGTCCGTAGAATTTCATGACAATTTTAGTTTCATTGACCGATGACACCACCCTCGTACAAGGCCATGGTTTTACCGTCACTGTCTGATGGGGATTTTCATAGCGTTTGATTATATTGTACTTTTTGATTGATAAACCATAGAATATAAATAGAACCAATACACAGGCGAGTATCATCTTCATTGTCTTCATTCTGCTTATCGTCTGAAATTTTAAAAAATTTGATGTGAAAAAAGTGGATATTACTTTTGCACACGTTTGGGATAATGAAGACAAGAAAATGTCAAGCAGTGTACAGTGGAGGAGATGGAGCATTGATCGTAGCATTAACCTTCTCCTTTTCCGATTTCCAATTGTAGAAGGATCTTTTAAGGAACAGATGTGCCATTTTGGGGGGTTGATTTAATATAATGTACATATATGTCTTCAGAAGTACTAGAAATGTACGCAAATCGCCCCATTCCTTTAAACATATCAAACTTTAAATTTCATTTCCTTTTTCTATACATGACTTTTCTATACATGACTTTTCTATACATGACTTTTCTATACATGCCTTTTTTATACTATACATACCTTTTTTATATATGATTGCCGTCTCAAAAAAGACGACGCCTCTTTTTAAGTTTCAAACGCGGATAATTCTAGACATACATGGATTTGAAGGCTCGAATTTCGACGATGAGCTGTTAACATTAATACCTCTTTGGCTTCCCGTTTCTGAGACTAAAGTATGATTGGCCATAAAAAATGGCCTATTCAATAGGGTGCTTGTTTGCATATTTTTCTTGAAACATGACATGACATGGGATGCTTCAAAAACAGAAACACAATTTTATGGTATACTACTTCTGAGATTTATTGCACAACAATTTACATTGTCATCATCAGATGAAAAGGATGTTAGCATCTGAACTGAAGTATCTGAACTGAAGTATCTGAACTGAAGCATCTGAACTGAAGTATCTGAACTCACAAGGCAGTCTATTAACCAGTTAGCAGTTAGAACTGAGTTTTAACCAATATTGATGTTTTCCAAAAAAATGCACAGTACATATCAAACCGTGCAGTCACTTTGTAGCAGAGAGATTAAGACGATATTTTGATATAAAATAGGAATCTATTTAAAATCAAGTTTTCCTCTCACCTTACAGTTACTGGTAAATGCTATAACACTATCTGGAAAACCCATCTTTGCTTTTCTGAAATGCAAGAATGGAAATAATCTTTTGGGCAATGAAAATCACTGAGTAAGCAATTGGACTATTCTAAACAACCATAACATTGTATTGTATTGATAGGAGAACAACACGTGTTGGGGAGTTCATTTATGATTGAGGGGTGGTAAGTAAATGACTGATATAATGTTAACAGTATTGCATACTAAGCAGTATTTTTTAAAACAAAACAATGTCTTTCCTGGTCATATTCCAATAACATAATTAAGTATCGACAAGCAATGGGGTTTCTTCGACCTGGCTATTGGTAGTCTGTGAGCAACTGACAGCATCTGGAGAATCGATGAAGCGCGGTTTTTAGCGACCTTAACGCACTACAATTGGGACCTGACTGTTATCGTTCCATATCTATCAGTTGCTCATGTTCGTCTAGCAAAATTTGGATCTTCGACAACCTAGATTCTATTAGTCTGTTAAATTATCAGTGTGAGCTCTTTTTGATTATGTTGACAGGGACGATTGCTATGAGGCATATTGAATCGATCTTAGCTTACTTTCACGAAAAAACCGTATTTTCAAATTATTTTCTAAATTCAATTGAACAAATGTTAAAAGGATTGTAAAGATGTGTATCGGAGACACTGATAGCATCAATTTACACCACTCAGATTTTCAGTCAGATGTCTGTGGTTCCTGCAATTCCAAGTTCCAAATTCTAAGTTTTTGATGACGAGACTAATCGCAAACTGTGCTTTATCACCTAAACACTTTGTTTTAGTGGATTAAGAACCACACACATTAAAAATTTGAATGGTGCAAATTGTGTCTCCGATATAAAAAAAATTGAGAAAACATCTTTACAACTCCTGTAAGTGTACTAGAATACAATTTCAACATATACATGTATATTGACTTTAAAAGGCACTTACCAACTAATCTTACAATATCTAACTCCAAATTGTGTCGTTTACTGTCATATACAGTTGGTTGGGTATTCCAGGGGGCCTACAATATAAGAACGTCGACAAAATGGGAACAATGAAACCAAACCATATTACAATATAATGGCGAATAAGTCCGGTAATACTGAGTGGACAAGCGTAAAATGTTTGAATGATTGAGTAATAAGATTATCCAATAATCCTAGTAACAATTGTATTATACTCTCACTAATGAGCTATCCCAATGGATACTAAAATACATAGCACCCAGTCCCAGGGCTGTATTTAATATAGTAATGTTTATATTAAAAAAAATGCAATTGGGAAATAAATGAACATTACTAATAAACGATAACCATTTCAAAAGTATATAAGCATGTATGGTGAACTTTAAAGTTAAAAGTTATATAAATATTCACTGTTAAAAAAGTACAATACATCAATGGTAGACAGGCCCGTAGCCTGACCAGTACTCCTGGGGGGGCAAACGTGCAATCGAGGGGGCAATTTAGCAAAGCACCTTGACAGACGATTAAACGTCGGGAAACGGACTTTCATGGAGTATTTTAGATTCGAGATTATTTTTGTTAAAACACACAAGTTATAATACGTTACATTTTTATTGCCGTTTTAGTTTAAACGTAGTCGGGTATGTTTTATGGCAAAACGTTGAACAAATACGTTCAAGTTAATTTTCTGGGTACGCTTCTTGTGGAAGGCAAGAAGAACAAGATTGCGCTGGCGAAGCTGAGTCATAGATCGTCGTTGTGGTGAGTCAACGCGAGTAAGAGTTGAAAAGCTGCTTCCACACACAGCGGTACTAGAACCGAATGTGGCAACGCTTGCAGCCAGTGCATATAATTTAAGGAAAGCCAATTTCTGCTCGTATAGTTTTTGAAGAACAAGATTGGAGTCCTGCTTTTCTGTATCACCTACAGCATGCTTCCAATCTGTGTAGCCTTCGGTGATGAATTTTTATGCACCCGCAGATGTATTGTGAAACACTCGACATGGAAGGGGCGTCCCCTGACACTGAATACTCCAGCCATGGAAATCGATCATACCAGCTGTTACTAAAATGGCGACCAGACTTCGCTGGAAATTTTATTCTCGGTTGCTTTGGAACGTCTTCTTTTCCAATGTCACCTGGTACTCCTGTCTTTTCAGAGCATCTTGGTACTGCATCCGTTGTGTTGCCCGCTGTGGTTTTGATACCATTGTCAGTCGTAGTAGTGTCGGAACCATCAAGCAATTTGTCTTTTTTGATCAAATATGTATCCATTTTTCCTACGTTTGGTTGTTTGATTCATATGAATACAATTTAGGATAATATATGTCTATTAGTTAGTATTTATAATCAACCAATCAAATCTTTTGAATTTTGAGACGGGACAGATTACAATCCAGTATCAGACCAATAATTTTGTTACCAATGACGCTTTACTGCAGACTTTTTATGATTTTCAACGAACTCAATTGTATCAAATTATCTATTCTAATGTAATTAAATTTAAAAAGCTATGATGTCTGGTTTCATCCTCAGCTAAGTATAAACAGAAAGATATTTAAAAACAGTTCTTAAGTAGGTCTACAGATAGGAATACTTAGTATTTTGTTGGACCATTTCGCATAACGCAGCCCTGAAAGCCATAACATTATTTTTCGTTACGTATAATCAAAATATAGCAGCTGACTGGTGCACTTACTCCACCATAAAATGCCTGACTAGAATGACCACTGTTTGCTATTCACTCAGACTCAGTTACCTCCCGCTCCTATTGACTCAGAAAAAAGAAAAGGGGGGGGGGGGGGGCAAGATTTGATTTAGGGGGGGCTTGGCTACGGGCCTGATGGTAGAGCGGTATAGAAATACCACTTTTAAAATAATGCTCAGTAGATCAATTGGGGAGCGCTATAGAAATACCACTGTTAAAATAGTATTCAATACATCAATTGTAGAGCGATAAAGAAATAATAATGTTAGGATAGTGCTCAATACATCAATTATAGAGCTATATAGAAATACCACTGTTAAAATAGTGCTCAATACATCAATTGTAGAGCGATATAGAAATACCACTGTTAAAATAGTGCTCAATACATCAATTGTAGAGCGATATAGAAATACCACTGTTAAAATAGTGCTCAATACATCAATTGTAGAGTGATATAGAAATACCACTGTTAAAAAAGTGCTCAAAACATCAATTGTAGAGCGATAAAGAAATACCACTGTTAAAATAGTGTCCAATACATCAATTGTAGAGCAATATAGAAATATCACTGTTAGAATAGTGCCCAATACATCAATTGTAGAGCGTTATAGACACACCGGTACGTAGATTATTCGACTCTTTAAAACATGGTATTAAATTAGCTTTACGATGACTGTAAATTAGTCTTGGGCTTTTGTTTTTTAGTAACACCTGACTCTGTGACCTTTGAACTTTTGGCTGAAAGAAAATAATGGTATGATTTTCCAAATATATCCTTTTTTCAGATTTTTAGAAGTGTCTAAATAGGTTTCAAACCCCCTCACCTGCGGAGATGCGGAAAGTCCCCATTTAACATTAATTTTTTCTGTCTCTACACTAGAGGGCATCTGTCAAATAGCTATCAGAGGCAGGAATAGAGCGGTCGGCATATATCGTTATGTACTCAAATTTCAAATGCTACAGTGATTTCTGATTTAAACAAATTCTGTTTACCTTTAATATCTGATCTGGTAACTGTCCAACCACCCTTCATAGACCTACATCCTACACTTCTGTCACTTAACTTATAAATCACTTTGATGGTAAACCCTTCCTAATCTTCTGTAGGTAGTTAGAATTATCTCAATATTTCCCATTCATCTTTGCTGGAACATAGAGGCTAATCATGAACTAAAATAAACACGGATGACAACGATCAACTGAAGAGTTACGTGAACCGTCATCAAAACACGGACAGTCCATTGTAAAGGTAGATCAATTGGTCTTAAAGAGACAGATGCGCCATTTTGGGAAGCTGACTTGAGTTTTGAATATATGTAAATGGTTTTCAGAAGTATTAAAAATGTACAGAAATCGAATAATTCCTTCAAAAATATCTAGGAATTTGTTTTTCCTATTTCTATAGATGTCTTTTCTTTATATGGCAGTGTCTCAAGAAACTTTATAAAAAATGAAATGAAATGGATGGAGTTTTACGTCCTACTTTTCAGCACCATGTGGGCTAATGAAGACGGGCAAGGCCATGCAGGGTGCAATGAGGGAAATTTTGACAGGATAGCAGCATTAGCCTGCTATTTTTCGATTTCCAACTGTCGACTGATCTTTAATGTGCACAGCCTGTAGCACACGGGACCTCGGTTTATTGTCCCATCCGAACGACTAGACACTTTTTCCATGTCAGCCCCTCTCACTTGCATCACTGACAGGGGGAAACCGGGTTGAAAAATCTCGACCTATGCCGGGATGGAACCCTGGACCTTCAGGTTAGCGAGCAAGCGTCTAACTCACTGAGCCACCGCGACTCGCACAAGAAACTTTCAAACCCGGATAATTATGGACACACATGTATTTGAAGGCTCGAATTTTGACGATGAGCTGTGAACACTATTAATGATTTGGCGAAACATTCCTGTTTCTGAGAATAAGTTATGATTGTTTCAAAAAATTGGCGCAACTGTCCCTTTCGTATTATCCTCGGAAAAAGTAGACTGATCTTGTTGATGCCCGGATGTGCATAAATACCTTTAACCCACTTGAGTTCTGAACACTTGTAAAATATCTTGATTGATACTGTCAGACCACAATGGTTTTTGGATCGCATTTGTCAATCATTTTATTCGAATTGAACGGATAACTCAACAATAGTACGGGGAATGTGTTTATTTCAAAGTAATGCAAAAACATCAAACATTTAATTCCGTAGACATTTAAACGTTCTGAGGCAAATGGCATGTACACATGTATTGTGCCCAAACACATGGCGACTCCTTTAATGTGGCCGCTGAGATAAAAAAAAAGAAAAGAAATGAATTAGAGGTTTATGTTCCATATTTATGTTCCTGATTGAACCTATTATTATATCTAAGGACTGTGTTGTGAAGTACACTGGCTCAAGCATTTGTTTTCTGACATCCACCAACGCCAGATAATTAAAAAAACATTATAATTAGACCAAACTTTATTTCAATTAGTGGCTAAATCCAAATAACGTTCATTTGAAACTATAGAGTCACAAAAGTTCTTGAAAAGATCCCATCTGACTAGTTGACGACCTGTTGGCAACTCGGTCTTCGACTGTTGAGGAGACATCATCTCTTAAAGAAAGCGCTGCCGGAGACGTCTAGCGTCACTGATCAATCGCAGCGACTAATTCAACTCAGACTCAAGTTATCATCAAATGGCGTACACTTTCACCAAGGCGACGAGTTATATCCGTGAGGTCGCCAGACAGGATAACAGTGATTTACGTCCGTAGAATTTAATACTTAACCGTTTACGACCTGTAACTATGGTAACCATTCAATAGGGCGCTTGTTTGCACATTTTTGTTGAATCATGACATAACATGGGATGCTTCTCAATACTGCCTTGGGCCAATAAAAATTTTCTAAATTGTGTATTCTGAGAAGCGTCACAATATTCCAACCCTGGAGACGGAAGAAATGTGATTGGCAGGTGGTATCATCAAACTGACGAATGTCCTAGAAGGCTGTCTTCTGTCCTAACTTAAGTGGCTATATATGAAAATAAAAGCTAATAAAAAACGGAACGAAAAACTGAATATTTAAGGAATAAATGAAAATCTGGTTATTGTTATGGGGAAATAAACGTTGGGTTTTCATGCGACAAATGATCCGGCAAAGTGGGTCATGTACGTCTTGTGACATGAAAAACAAGCCTTTATTTCCCCTAACGATAACAATATCCACATTTATTCCGAATATTTACATTGGCCCGTCAATCATAAAGTGGCCGTGTCATAACGTTTTCGGCGTTTATTGGGTCATAATGACATCAAGATACAGATTTCAGTGTTTATTGGGTCATAATGACATCAAGATACAGATTTCAGCGTTTATTGGGTCATAATGATATCAAGATACAGATTTCAGTGTTTATTGGGTTATAATGATATCAAGATACAGATTTCAGTGTTTATAGGGTCATAATGATATCAAGATACAGATTTCAGCGTTTATTGGGTCATAATGATATCAAGATACAGATTTCAGCGTTTATTCGGTCATAATGATATCAAGATACAGATTTCAGCGTTTATTTGGTCATAATGATATCAAGATACAGATTTCAGTGTTTATTGGGTCATAATGATATCAAGATACAGATTTCAGCGTTTATTTGATCATAATGATATCAAGATACAGATTTCAGCGTTTATTGAGTCATAATGATATCAAGATACAGATTTCAGTGTTTGTTGGGTTATAATGATATCAAGATACAGATTTCAGTGTTTGTTGGGTCATAATGATATCAAGATACAGATTTCAGTGTTTAGTGGGTCATAATGATATCAAGATACAGATTCCAGCGTTTATTCAGTCATAATGATATCAAGATAAAGATTTCAGTGTTTATTGGGTCATAATGATATCAAAATACAGTTTTCAGTGTTTATCGGGTCATAATGATATCAAGATACAGATTTCAGCATTTATTCGGTCATAATGACATCAAGATACAGTTTTAATCGTTTCTGTGATCATAATGACATCAAGGTACAGATTTCAGCGTTTATTGGGTCATAATGATATCAAGATACAGATTTCAGTGTTTATTGGGTCATAATGACATCAAGATACAGATTTCAGCGTTTATTGGGTCATAATGATATCAAGATACAGATGTCAGCGTTTATTGGGTCATGATGATATAAAAAATACAGATTTCAGCATTTATCGGGTCATAATGATATCAAGATACAGATTTCAGTGTTTATTGGGTCAAAATGACATCAAGATACAGATTTCAGCGTTTATTGGGTCATAATGATATCAAGATACAGATTTCAGTGTTTATTGGGTCATAATGATATCAAGATACCGATTTCAGTGTTTATTGGGTCATAATGATATCAAGATACAGATTTCAGTGTTTGTTGGGTCATAATGATATCAAGATACAGATTTCAATGTTTATTGGGTCATAATGATATCAAGATACAGATTTCAGCGTTTATTGGGTCATAATGATATCAAGTTACAGATTTCAGAGTTTATTGGGTCATAATGATATCAGGATACAGATCCCAGCGTTTATTCAGTCATAATGATATCAGGATACAGATTTCAGCGTGTATTGGCTCATAATGATATCAAGATACAGATTTCAGCGTGTATTGGGTCATAATGATATCAAGATACAGATTTCAGTGTTTATTGGGTCATAATGATATCAAGATACAGATTTCAGTGTTTATTGGGTAATAATGATATCAAAATACAGATTTCAGCATTTATTGGGTCAAAATGATATCAAGATACAGTTTCCATCGTTTATTGGGTCATAATGATATCAAGATACAGTTTCCATAGTTTATTGGGTCATAATGATATCAAAATACAGATTTCAATGTTTATTGGGTCATAATGATATCAAGATACTGATTTCAGCGTTTATTGGGTCATGATGATATCAAGATACAGATTTCAGTGTTTATTTGGTCATGATGATATCAAGATACAGATTTCAGCGTTTATTGGGTCATGATGATATAGATGATACAGATTTCAGTGTTTAATTGGTCATAATGATATCAGGATACAGATGTCATCGTTTATTGGGTCATAATGATATCAAGATACAGTTTCCATCGTTTATGGGGTCATAATGATATCAAAATACAGATTTCAATGTTTATAGGGTCATAATAATATCTAGATACAGATTTCAGTGTTTATTGGGTCATAATGATATCAAGATACAGATTTCAGATTTCAAATTTCAAAATTATTAAATTCAAATTTGAGGTCATTCTATAAGAGGTAGTATTCCTTTAGATCAAACACTCAAGGAAAGAGTATATATTATGTATTATATTCGTGGATTTATCATAATAATATTATTATTTTAGAGGGATTCTGACACCAAGTATGACACCAGTAAGTCAACTGATGAATATATTAAACTCTTATTGGCCTTGATTTAAAATTTAAATTTGGGGTTCATTTTATAAGAGGTAGTATTCCTTTAAATCAAGCACTCAAGGAAAGTCAACTGAACACAATATGAACTCACTGTCACTCACTCATGCCTTGTTTCACAATTCGTTTATGTTCAATACATCATTTATAAAATATAAATGTAACGCTATTGAAGGGGCAAAAGCCAATTTTTAGTCCGAAGCATCTGCCTGTATTCAAGCATCATATGTTCATTCGACAACTTTCACAGTAGCAATCAGAGGCTGGAATAGAGACAAATGTTTCAGACGAACTCATTATTTGACAGATGTCGCCCATTTTGGACTTAGTACAGATTTTTATCATGGATATTTAAAACTCCAGTCCGGGGTTTTATCTGTTGAAGTGAAACACGGTAGAAATATGTAATATTTTTACGCGTGTGAATAGATTCTGCCACAAAGGTAGGCCTAATATAAATTTTGAAACAACCTTGAGTGGAAAACTTAATATATAAGAAGAAGAGAATCTGTTATGGTTATAAAAACGTCTTTAATAATAAGGATCAAACTGTTTCAAGAAAATGTACACGTGTCGTCATCGGATGAAGTGAAACATGGGAATATACAGTATTGTTGGGAACCCGAGTGTTAGCTGGTGAAATAATTCAATGAACCCTGACATTCCTCTAATTCCCTACGGTAGTGGTGGAGGGGTGGAGGAAGGGGAGAGGAGGAAATGTTAGTGTATATGGCTCCAAAATCACAATATTTCAATTGTTGAACTATGCATTTTTTTATTGTAGGAAGGTAATAATATTAAAATAATACTCATGAAATTCGGGAAACTCATGCAGGATTTACGCGCCTTATTTAACCCAACCATCCCCCCACCCCCCACCCCCCACCACGACCTCTCAAAATCCAAAGCTCTGCAGCCGCCACTTCTCTAGGTCAAATGAATCTTGTTTCTCTCTTTTCTCCAAGAGTCATAAACGTTACAAAAACAATGCTTTATAGATCGATTGCTGAATACTTAATTTGGCACTGTCTTTTATCACGGATTGATATAGTTCCTTTTTTATAATATGTAATGTACAGAAATCAATGTGGTAGACTATTCAATATTCATGTGCTCTATATTCAATTTTATATCGAGGAAGTGAATAATTTTGGGAACATTTTTATCTCACATTTGCTAGTAATCCAAAATATTTGAACTGGTTAAAAACTCCACAATAGTAAGAGCGGCATTTTGTTAGTTCAAATAGAGAGCACAAACTATTCTTCTCTTCGAGACATTTCATTTCAGACATTCAAAGTCATTCCAACATTAACAATAAAAATTGATCTTTCAGACAAAAATTGATTTATCGACGAAATTCAGATAAAAATAAATTACATTAATGTAGCTGACTTTTTACTTGATTTAGTTTTAGTTAAAGGGACATTCCGTTTTTTGTAGGTGGACAAGTTTTTTTTGCTCAATTTGTGAAAACTATACACCAAAATCTAGAGAAAATATGCCCTTAAACATATCTGAAAGTTTAACTAAAAGAATCCAGCAGTTAATTTATTAAAAAACGTTACGTAAGGTTTTTAAAATCGTTATGCTTTTAGGAAGCTGTTAGAAAACAACTGTGCTGATTTGAGTAGAATGAACACCTAACTGTAGAGAAACGTCTCCTACGTACTCGAAAGATTTCAACTAATAATATCGAGCCATTATACAGCCAAACACCAAAACTAGATCAAACTGCTTAACTAACAATTAGTAGTCTCCGGTTTTAATTAACCCTTTGAAAAACAAATTCATTTTGATCAAGAAGATACATAGATATAAATAGCATACCTAAAAATATTTCCAGGTTTAATTTACGATGTTTTTGATAATGAAAACATTTAACAAAAAAAGACAGTTTGCGTCAGTTATTAAAACAAGGTTTTGCTATTGATCTTTTTTCTTCTGTCAGAATTTGTTTTTGTGATGTAAATATCTGCACCAGCATACATAACAATCAAGGATTCCAATTGGTTTACTAAATATAAGTTAGTTACTCACACGAACCATCACAATGCTCTGCGCCAACGATCTGTTTATAAAATTATACTTTAATGTATGGATCTCACGGGACATTAAGAACATAAAGAATACATTCGACATGTATTTTATATAATAAAAGGTGTGTTGTCGTACTGTGATCATTGTTTTTGATGTCGTTGGATTGTGAACTTATGTTGACTAAACAGTGGTAATATTGATATGATAGTGCGCAAATACAGCAATAAGTCTCGAAGGTACATATAATACAACCGTCATTATAAAAAAAATTGGAAATAGAGTTCCCATACTGAAATTTGTGGATCCATTAAGGTATAGTGAAGCAATGTATAAACTATTTACAAGGTCGTGTCTGTTTAAAATGGGGCTGCTGCTACAGATGGTATACCTTCAGAATAACGGCACGTGCGTGGATTCTATATATATGAAAATACAGTATAAAACTAAACTAATAAATAATTATGTTAGTAAATTTCTCGAAATAAGTTCAGCTTACGAATGTCTGGAATATTGTAGAAATCATGGTACTTGTAAATCAGTAGGAATAGATACAAGTTCCATGACGTGTTATTTATATAATGATAGAGTCTATGCTGGATTGAATGGAACCAACAACTCAAATATTATATATTATTGGCTTCTAGAATGTAAGTTCCATAATTTACATAATTATTAAATAAACCAGTTTGTATACTGAATAATGGCTTCTAGAACGTAAGTTCCATAAATTTACGTGTTGTTACTTAAGTTTACGTACTGAATATTGGCTTCTCCAGCGTAAGTTCCATAATTTATATATTAAGCTTCCTTAGTTTATATACTAAATTTTGGTTTCTTGTACGTAAGTTCAATAAATCTATATATTAAGTAACATATTTAAGTTCAAATTTCAAATATTATGATATTAGCTGCGGCTTCAATGTTAGAGTATAAGTTCTGTAAGTCAAATTATATTAAGTAACATAATTTCATGTTTCTACTAAACCTGGATCTCGTGTTTAAGTGTTAGGGTAATTGAAATTTAGCTCTATCAGTTTATGATATGATATTATTTCAGCTGAATGTCCTATACAGCTTGGATACAGAGAAGACTCGCATAGTAAAATATGTAGCCTGTATAACGACACCAACCTAACTTGGCTGGAAGCTCAAATCCAATGCCAACAGGAAGGAGGGTTTTTATTTATGGTGGACACACGTGCAAGTCAAATGGTACTGCATGATTATTTCGTTAGTGGAGGTATTTGTTCATAACATTTCAATCGATAACATTTTAAAAACAATTAATATCATCCTTTCAATCGGTCTACCATGCAAGTTCTGCTATCGCTCTTCAACATATTCAGTTTTAAGGAAACTGCCGAGGATTGCCGCATTTGCTGTTCAAAATCTAAAACAGTCTAGTACAGTTCTCAGGGCATTAACGATGTAAATTGCACGACAGTCGTCTGCTAAAATAATAGATAATAGGACATAGCGGGGGGG